CACAGGAACCGCCTCAATCATATATATATACCTCTTCGGGGGTTTTAGCGGGTTTCTTGATGGTGGTTGGGTGCGACACGGGGGAGGCGCCGACATCGCGAAACAAATTGACAGCGGCTTTGACGGATTGGAAAGGGGCACTTGTGTCAATTTCCCCAACCTCAACTTGTTTGGGGGAGAAGCCAACAGAGGCTGGTGAGCCATTTGCAGTGACCTTTGGAGAGTCTGTTGCTGTTCTTGGAGAAGCATTCTGTTTTGTTCTTATGCTGAACCCAAACATCTTATTCTTCTTGTTAATTACTTAATTATGGATAAATAATCTGCAGAGTTTTACATTATTCCATAAGATTGATCAATCCATGGGTCATTAGGATATGACCAAATTGAAGAATTTCTAGAAAACAAAGACTATATATGATATTAGGGTGATTTCTTTTAAATTTATACAGAATATATATAACACAACTATTTTCAATTCAACTAGATTAAGATAGACGTAGAACAAAAATAAATTAAAGAAATACGCAAAATGAACATTCTGTTACTCGTAAATGAATATTCGCTGTTGAATTATGGGAAATGTCGTAAAAAAATTGGAAAAAAAGGGTTTTTGTTTTTACAAAATGTATGTGAAATGAAGCAATGAAATAAAAGTTATATTACATACTAAAGCAATGAAACAATATTTTTTTTACAAAATTTGCAAAGATAATTTCAATGGTTTCACATTTATTATTATTTGAAATTAGGGAAGATTAAGCAATTAATTAACCAAACCTGATGATCGAATTCTTCATGCATGAGAAATCATCACAATGGCCTCTGCATGTCCCCTTTTGGATTCAAAAATAAACAATATTTAAAAAAATTTAAAAATAATTCTTATGTATGGGTTTGAAACCATATTAGGATCTTTGTGGGAAAAAAAACCCCAAATTTCTTCGTTGTTCTTGTTTTTTTTTTGGTTTCGTTATGTTCTTAAATTTGAGGTAATAAAGGAATGTTGGGGAAAGGATAAAATGGAGGGGGTGGCAGTTTTATAAGTAAACTATAAACTCATTTTAAACCATTCATATATTGACTCCATTTTTTCTGTGAGAGAGGCAACCATATGTAAACTTAATTGCGCTCCGTTTCGTTTAACTTATTTTTTCTGCTTAGTATATATTCTTATTAAAATCAGATATAATCAGATCAGATCTAATCAGATGAGATCTAAATAAAATTAATATTAATAATAATAAGATTATTATTATTAATAGCATTGTTATTATTATTACTACTAAATAGCTATAGCGCATCCTGTAGTTCAGAAGATATATACTAATACTCCTCTCTTTTAAGAATTTGTTTCTAAAATTCTTATTTTTTTCGAAATGTTGCATACACACCCTTCTAATGATTTTCTGTCCATTTTTACGTCAAGGAGGGAGGCGTGGATTGGTTCCTATTTTTCCTAGTCACACAAGGGGCACCAGAGCTCATTTCTCATATTCTATTCATATTTTGTTTTTTTTTGCTTTTTTTTTTCCTCGATTTGTTTCTTTTATCTATAAAGGTTTTTTAATTTCTTTTTAAAAAGATTATAATTTTTTTTAAAATTCAAAATAACTTCTGTATGAAATAAAAAGTAAATGAAATGAAAAATATGGAGTAATTAACATATGCTGCATCTAGGATTGTAAATGGATAACCAAAAATTCGATTACCGTTTGCATTTGTATAAGTTAACATAGAAAATATACACATGCAATCTAAACAATTATTATCTTTATCCAATTTAAAACATCTGATTGGTAAACGGATACAGATTTGCTAATCATACATCCGATCAATTTATAATCTGCTTCGCGTGGATATTTGTTCGAGTAATTGTTTATTTGTATATCTGATATATTATATATAGTTTTCCTAATTCTTTGTTTTTATATTAATATCTCAAAGTCTAGGACTCTTTATATGTAAAATATATTGTATGTGTAGACACATACAAATATGTACATATGTGTAAATGAGTACAAATAAATGAAAGTTTTAGGCTAGTGTTTGGAAATTTATCTTTCATTTCAATTCCAAAATTTAATTTCTTGAATTTCAAATGAGAAGGGTTGTTGGATGTCAAATTGATCTTTTGTTGTGAATTAGAAGAACTCACAAATCTAAATCAAAATTTTTTAAGGCTCTCAAGCATTGATTTTGAATCAAATCTAGATTTGAAATCCAAATCCAAGTTCTCAAAAATATCATAAAAGTATTTATATATTCCGTACTCCGTACCACATAGTTCAATTTGACTTTTAAAAAAATGGAAATGGAAACAGATATATCTGATATTCGACCGATGCAGTACAATTCCTTTCCTGCATTTTAAAAATAGGATTACTTATATTTTTGGTTCTTCCAAAATATGTTTTAATTAAATTATCATTATAAAATTATTATTTTTACAAATATTTCTCCCCTAATTTATGTTGATCCTTATAAAATTTTTACATTTTGCTTTGAGTTCCTCTAAAGGTCTTTTGAGAAATTTTTCCTCTTTTTAAAATTATTTAAGTGAAATTTGCACTGAATAAAACTAAAACATAAATCATTTTCTAATATAAGACTTAAACTTTTTATTTTTTAAATAAGACTTAATAATGACTAGTGATAAGAATAATGTCCAAGTAATGTTGGATATTTAGTTAAATAGTGACTAATAGATAATTACCAATGGTGCTACATTGGAAAATAAAAAGATATGGTCATATATTGAGAAAGTCATTATGTTTTAGTCATATTTAGGTAAATTACCCATGATTTAAATACTCTGTGCAAGATTAACTTATTCTTTTAAGTCAAAATAAATTTAATTATAATCTCAAAGTCATTGAAATATTTTTCAGAGCTTAACCGAATAACTACTTTACTAAAAGGTTTTAAAGTTTTTTTTCTAAAGTAATACTTTTTAATAAAAAAATTGAGCTAATTTAATACCAGGGTCGTTTTATGATAGAATTTAGGATGGGGTATGGACAACTGGATTGGGCAATAAAACACTTGGGTTGAACCACATTAAAAGATTGAATCCAATCGATTAGTTAGTTCAACTCAAAAGCTTATATACCGGTTTATTTTCTCTTCAAGTTTCGATGTGGGATACTCTTTAACATTTTAAATAAATATCTTTACTATCATTACACAAATAATCACTCTAAAAATAGTCCGAAATGTTGAGAGTAAGAATTTTTCTTAAAAAATCATGAATTTTAAAATTTATACTAAAAATTACACTAAAAAGAAATATGGTACTATTAACCTAGCAAAAGATTTTATTTACTAAAATTTAAAGTATTAATTTGGCAAATGTTTAAATGAATTTGTTAAAAATGTAGTTATTCGATTAAGTATTTAAAATTATTTCATTAACTTTAACCTTGTAATTAAGTAAATCCTGAATAGAAAAAGAATAAGATAATCATGAACGGAGTATTCAATAATTTAAAACTAGAATTAAATGAACAAAACGAATTTTAAAGGGAATAAGAATAAAATTTATAAATTTTACAAGGATCAACACAAATATTTAAATTATGGGAGGACTATGTGTAAAAATAATAATTTTATAGGGACGTTTTAATTAAAAATATTTTGGACGTACAAACGGAAAAACTCGTTATTTTTATAGAGACCGAAAACATAATTGAACCCAAAAAAAATAAGATTTCATCTATGAGAATAAAATATCGTGTGTAGTGTTTTGTGTGCAATAAAAATGTGTAGTATTTTGACAATATTTGAGACCATTCATCATGATGAAAATTAACATATTTTTATGAGGAAACAACCAAAGATATATATCCCACATCGGTTCGGCAGAGAAATTGTCTCTGCTTAATAAATGGCCAGTAAATACAACTGTTCGCCGAGCTCAGCAACGCGAGCTTGTGACCCGAGTGGGGGCTATGAGTTGTTGGAACATTGGGATTGCCTTCGCGGCCGGGTCTTGGAGACGCCATCATTGGGCCGCCCTGTCCAAGCTGGGAGTTGGGCCAAGGTTCTTGTTCGAAGGAATGGGAGTCTTGTCCACTAAAATGTTGGGGTAATGCGTGAGGCTGGTTTCACAGAGCAGCGAAAACCCCCTCCTCTCAGCAGTGGAAGGATAACGGTCCATCGTCTTCTAGGCCCATCTAACCTCAAGGGCTACCCAATTGGGACCTTCACCTTTTGCTAATTTTTTTCTTTTAATTCTTTGAGACATTTTTGTAAATAAAAAAAATTAAACTCAAAGGTCTATATAATTTTGAAGGAATTAAACTCTTGTGTAAAAAATTAGAACAGTTTATTTTTTGGACGTCTAAAAAAAACTATACT